TCATCATAGTCATTACCACCAACACTAGCTATTTAATCATCATAGTCATAGTGTAGCACATCATCATCTTCAAACTCATTTCTAGCTAGCTAATCACTCCTGCTGCTCTCTCTCAGGTAAAATAACATAAAACATGTGTAGCTCTTCTCCTTCATCAAGTTAGAGCATGCAGATGAACTTGTCTCCTAATCGTGGGCTGCACTTCTGATTGTTGCCCCTAGTACTTCTCGCTCCTCCATCACAAATTTGGTCCAGTCTTTCACTATTAAGAATTCGTCGCTAATCCTGAATGCATTAAAGTGCATTGTAGGATATCTTGGCCGTAAGCTAACAATACTCATGGTACCTTTAGTGTCGATCCCATGAGGCACAACATTCATCGGGAGTCCCTGTTGAAGAACATCGTATGGTAACATACTTAGCAATGAAGTTTAGCTTAAAAAATAATGTATAGAAAAGATGCACTGAGGACAAATAGTAATAATGTCTTTTGAGCAAGTGGCTATTTAGGCTATCACAGGAATAAGAGGTATGTGGGCACAACTCCTTAAAAATAAATACTTGCACTCTAAAACTCTTGCACAAGTTACATAAGACCTAATGATTCGCTGTTTTGGAAGGGACTCATGAGAGTGAAAGCGACCTTCTTCCATAGGGTGAAATTCATTGTAGGGGATGGAACAACAACAAGGTTTTGGGAGGATACTTGGTTAGGTGACGCACCATTAGCTCTCCAGTATCCTTCCATGTACCATATTGCTCAACGTAAGGAGGATTACATGGCAGCAGTCATGCAGACGATACCTTTGAATATCCAGTTTAGGAGATCTCTAGTAGGGGAGCGATGGAACTCCTGGTTACACTCGGTTGATGGACGTTCAACTCTTTGATCAGGGAGACACCTTGAACTGGAAGCTAACGGCTAATGGAGTGTTTTCGGTTAAATCGATGTACTTAGACCTTATTAATTCTGGCCCAATCCCGAGATCGATACACATTTGGAAATTTAAGGTTCCCTTGCGAATCAAAATTTTTATGTGGTTTGTCCACAAGCAAGTGATCCTTACCAAAGATAACTTACTAAAGCGACGATGGGTAGGTAGCTCACGGTGTTAATTTTGTGTTGATGACGACAATTCAACACTTATTATTGATTGCCATCTCGCGAAGTTACTTTGGAGGTCCATACATATAGCTTTTAATATTGTCCCTCCAGTTAGCATTGATGCGTTGTTTGGGACGTAGCTAAATGGAGTGATTCCTAAGATTGCGTCAAGTATTTAGATTGGGATATGTGCACTTCTTTGGGATATATGGAACTGCAGGAACGATATGATTTTTAACAGACTATGTATGATTAACTTCTTGCATGTTATCTTCAGAGCTATGGCATGGATCCGTACGTGGTTGCTACTCACTCCTACGGGCTCCAGGGAGCATTTGGCTACTGGATGCAACCGATGGGAGATGGTCGTACGGGCTATCTTCAACCGGTTTGGATGGCAGTCGCATAATAGGATAGGTCCTTAATGTCCTTTCGTCCAGCCGGTTGTGGCTTTGAGTTGCTTTATCTTTTTTGTGCTCCTTTTATGAGTTGTACTCTGCAGAACAGCCTATTTATTTTGCTGAACTTGCTTTAATAAAGTGGCCGCATACATCTTTCCGATGCAGAGGCCGGGGATGTCCTCCTTTTCCGATGGATGTGGGACGCTAAGTCAGCTGTACATCGCCATCTTGGAACTTACTGGTCATGCTGAAACTTACAGGCGGGCATGCCGCATGCACCCTTGAAATTTGAAGTGGTCTTGTAATTAATTGATGAAAGAGCCTCCGACGATATCAGCCACACAATGTTCCATGGACCATAAGGAGCAAGCTATATGGTTTGTGTGCGTACTTGCCCTAGTTGAACCGTCCTGCTCCAAATCAAGTCCACGTGAAGGGACGGAAAAGTATCTAGTTCTCACCTAAATCTAGCTTCCACTTGGTATTACAACACTGGCATTTGTTTTCTTCCTCAAAAAGTCATTGTCTACAACTTTTCGTTCATGGTGTGACGACCGACGACCAAGACTATTGACCGTAACCTTGTTTTAGGAGACATGGTGCACTGTTGGCTGGTATGGGGCTACACATCTCTGTCCAACGTTCCTGTTGGGTTTACCGGGAAAATTCAACGGAACTGTTCGAGCCGCGATACACAACACTCGTTTATAGTCAGGTTCCGAGTCTTGCCTAAACACGTGCACGTCTTTTTCCACCTCTTTGTTAGAACCTGGAACTCTCTCAAAGCACGATCTGGCAATGGCCTGACGAGGAAGACACAAAGAAATCTTCTGCATGCTGTTACATCTCAGGTTTCTTCACTACTTATTTGTATCATAAACACACAGGGGCAGGGGCATGCACCTGCCCAGACGTGCCCGACCGTACGATTGCCTCGCGATCCGCAAAATTATTGGATTCCGTACGAAGGCTCAAAAAGTTCTAAATTATAGTTTTGAAACTTAAGATTTTGTCATTCGTTCGTACCAAGTTTCAACAGTTGAAACTTATCAAAGTTTTAAGAGCCCACTACACAAGAAACATGAATATGCAAATGAAACCTGATTTGAACTTTTGGTTCAACGATATGAAAAATCGAAATCAAAAACCGAAAGAAAATGGGGTCGATGCCCCAGCCAACGCGTGGCCACAAATCCAACAGAAGGAAAACGGCCAACACACACGAGCCTGCCGAACATGCCAACCCATGTCACTCGTCGTGCACGAGTTGTGTGCATGTGAAGTCCAATGCCGCGTGCCATCCCATTAGCTGCTCATGGCCGCATCTATCTAGCTAGCTACTAAGAGCATCTCCAATCGCAACCCTGTATTAGGGCACCAAAAGTGGTTGGAGTAAAAAATGGGAACCAAAACTACTATTTTTTGCACGAAAAAGTGCCGCCTCCAACAATTGCCCTATAATAAGCGGTTTCACGAAGCGGCATATACACTTTTTTTGAGCATTCGACATATACACTTTTCACCTCGAATAAACATACATATCGCAGACAAATAATATCAAACACAACTTATATGTCCGAAACAAACACAATAAATATTGTTATCAATCCACACCATCAAATAATGAAATACTTCATCAAATCCACAACATAGTTCATTAAATCAAATTCAGCAACAAAGTGTTTAGCACACAATCAACAAAGTTCATCACACAAATACAACAAAGATAGAGGTGCAACTAGGACTATTGTTACCCATGCCATGTCCACCATTCCTCCATGTGATTTTTTCGAAGATCATCATGTGCATCCCATCTCTAATGTCATGGTACATCAGAAGAAAGCGGTCGATCTCGTCCTCCTATCCGGCCGCATGGGTATTCCCATGAGGTCATAAAAGGTGTAATCCAAATCTTGCCCACGCTCATTCTAATTGATCATGGCGTGCAAGATCACAAAGGCTATTATGATGTACCAAAGGATCTTTTGATCCCAAAACCTAGCATGTCCTCACACAATAGCAATTTGGGTTTGCAAAATCCCAAATGCTCTCTCCACATCTTGCCTATCCTCCGCTTGAGCATTGTGAAAATAAAGTTATTTCTTACTTGGGTTTTTCCAATTGGCTTCACGATAAGTATCCCACCTTTGATAGATCCCATCCGGAAGGTAGTACCCAAAGTTATGGGTGCGGCCGTTTTCTTGGAAGGCCACTGGTAGAAGTTATCCATTTGCTAACTTTGCAAAGAGATGTGAGAGGTGGATCACATTGATATCATTGCAAGATCTGGGCATCCCAAAATATGCGTGCCATATCCATGTCTCCTGGTCGGCCACAACCTCAAGAATGATGGTGGCCTCCTTCTATCGTTTAAACTGTCCAAGCCAAGCTTTATGTCAGTTCTTCCAGTTCAAGTGCATGCATTGAATGGAGCAAATCATACCTGGAAACATACGAACTTTGTTCTTTCCAAATGCCTTGCCCTGTCCTGAGCATTGGGTGCTCTCAAATACTCTGGACCAAATACTTCGACCACCGCCTTTGCGAATTGTGACTATGCATATAAATGTTTATCAAATCCTACCACGATTTACCTAACTAAATAAATTTTAGGATTTTATTACATAACCACATATTTTGGAAGAACTTATTGACTTACAAAATATTACAGTTTTATTTTACAAGTCAATAAAAGGTGGGATGGTTATGACAGGTTTCAAGAAAAACTGATGAAAAAGCAGAGATATGAGGAAAAAAACGAAATAGAGAGAGTATGATAAGGTTGAGGAAGCACTCTGCTTGGCAAAAAAAGAACACTATTCTTTTTCTTCTTCTTTTTGAGTAGTAGAGATTATGTCTTGGGCGACATCTGATGCCGCATAGGCAATATTATATGGCATGTTGACATGTGGGCCGCCAACGTAATACAAACCTAGATAATTGTATTTATTTTCAACAATTCAGAGAAACCGAAGCGACAGAAATGACACGTCTAGGTGTCATCATAGATTTGAAGATATTATATGAGAGGAAATTGTTTTGCGATGGCGACAAATAAATAGGTTCGCTTTATTCCTGTTTTGGTGAAAACTGAAATTTTTGGCCCTGCCTGCTATGTCTCACATCGGTTGAGTTGCATGCAAGCACGCGGAGACGCTCTAATCAAATACTACCTTCGCAACAACAAGATATCAAGAGCTACTCAAAGACATTAAAGATGCACATAGCCAAATAATTACAAAAAGGAGGGGAAAGAAAGCAATGATGATCCTAACAGAAGAAATATCACCAAAAGGGTGTAGAACATGCCAGTATAATTCATTACATTTTACACGAGCAATATATAATTATAAACTATTTTATGTTTATTTGTTAACGATTAGTATCCAAATTTATTTGCTACATACAAGAGTAATTCTTTTTGTCCTGCTGGCACCAACCTTTTCTAGGATGTGCAGATAACTGCATCTATTCAAATTATGATCACTCGCTTTTTATTCAAGACCGTGGTGGTATGGTTTGGGAACGAGCACTAGCGGCGTCTTGCGGTGGAAGATGAGCCTCCCTTCTTCATCCATGTTCACATCGTCCACCGTGGTCCCCTCCGGAAGCGTCCACCGGAAGCTGAAGAGCAGATTGGCGAGTGTAAACTCGATGGTGGCCACAGCCATGGACATGCCTGGGCATATCCGGCGCCCTGTGCCGAATGGCATCAGCTCAGGATGCTCGCCCTTGAAGTCTATCTCATTCGTTTCAAACCTATCAGGGTTGAACTCCTCTGGGTCGTCGGGCCAACTTACCGGGTCTCTGCCGATTGCCCATGCATTCACGTAGATCTTTGTCTTGGCCGGCACGTCATACCCACCAATTTGTATGTGTCGCATGGTCTCCCTCGGCAATAGCAATGGTCCCGGTGGGTGCAGCCGTAGGGTCTCCTTCACGACCATCCTGAGGTAGCTGAGTTTTGAAATGTCGTCCGATTGCACACTTTTGTTGTCTCCTACCACGTCACGGATACTGTCCTGCACCTTCTTGAGCACGCGTGGCTTCCGCACTAGCTCTGACATTGCCCATACAATGGTCGCAGCATTTGTGTCAATGCCAGCAACGAAAGTCGACTGCACATCATAAATGCAACACATGAATGATTAATATAATTATTAGTGTCGATACCTATTTTTACTTTCAGAATCCATGAATGGACTGTAAGTGTTGAATTATTGACATACAAAGATTATGGCCTTGACGTGGTCCTTGGTGAAGATGAATGTGCCACGCGGATTCTTCCAAAGGTCGATGAGGACATCAATGAGGTCGCCGCCATTCTCAGGCAGCACACGGTTAGGGTCCAGGTGTTGCTCGATGACCATCTCGAAGAAGGCATCGAGCTGCAAGAAGATCCGCTCGCGCCGGGCGATGAAGCCGGTAAGGCGATCGACGAGGCGGCCGACAACTACTGGGAACAAGTCTTCAGCGGAGGAGCCAGAGCTAGATAGCATCTCCATAACATCGTCGAGCGCATCCTGAAAATTGTTATTTTGGGAGAACTTATCGCCGCCGTAAATATTGCCAAACGCCACTGTGCCGATGATACCGTCGGAGAGGCTTAAGATGTGCTCATCTAGAGCCACCGGTTTTCCTTCCGAACGGCTGAGGGTGCTTATGAGTTTCCCCACCTAATCATGAATACGATATACATTATTTTAAATAGTTGTCTGCATCAACCGACGCAACGGCTAGGACTTTTACAAAGAAAATATATACATTATTACTCCAGTATTATTTAATAAAGTAACTAGGAAGACTATTTCAGCACAACATGAGTCCATGACTAGCCATGTGTGGTGAGAATGCATGTGACACATGGATTGAGTTGTATGTACCTGCTCATGGCGTGCGTACCATGCCGCCTTAACGCGTTGCGCGCTGAGGAGCTCGACGGTGAGAAGCTTGCGCACCTCGCGCCAGTAGGCGCCGTAGGGCGCGAAGGCCACATTCTTGAGGTCATAGGTCAGCCGCCTCGTCCCCGCGGACACAGGCCGCGTGCAGCAGTCGAGGTCGTGAGTCTTGAGCGCCTCCCAGGCCGCCTGTGCCGACGACAGCACCACCGTCGGCGCCTTGCCGAGCTGCAGCTGCATCACCGGCCCGTGGACCCGCGCCATGTCTCGCAGGGTCCGGTGCGGCAGCGGGCCAAGCTGGTGCAAGTTGCCCAGGAGGGGCACCGTGGCGGGGCCTGGTGGCAGCTTCAGCCCTTTTCTCCTGGTCATCAGTAGTAGGGGAAGGACAGTGACAAGTGCTAGGAGTACGGGCTGCCATTGCTGGGGTAGGGAGAGGAGCAGCGAGGTGAGTGAGATCGCCATTTTTGTTGGTGGTAGATAGAGAACTAACTGCTTCAGCTAGCTCGATTATGTGTGAATTATATACAAGTTTGCTGAGCAAAGGATCAACGAAAAATCTGATCATCTCATCGTCACTGTACTCTAAAGTCTAGTAGAAGGACTTGAAACGGCCTGGTCTTCTCCTGCCGGTCGACGTACGCGTCTGCTGGAGAATGACAGCCGCCCGTTTGCATTCTCACGCAAAGTCACCCAAATACCCAAATTAGTCTCAGTATACTAGACCCAATTCCACCCATGCATGCCTTTCAGTAGGTAGGTTCGTGGAGCGAGGACAAACAAATACTAGACATATGAGACAGGTATAAGCATAAAACCATTTCATTGATCCGTATAACAATGAAGCCATACAAGCAAATTAACAATACGCAAGGTATCCACAAAGTCGGACCATCAAATTGGGACAACTAGTAGCATATACTACGATAGCAGACCAACTTCAGTGGCCTCCAGCGCGGCGAGCCGTGAGGCGCGCTGAGCGGCGGATGGGTTCACTCACAGGGTGTCCGCACAGGATTCACACATGGCTATAATGCCGGGCTGAGGCGCGGCAACCAGCACCTCCACCGCCTCTCCATCGTCAGTGCCATCCACCACCTGCATTGCATCTGGATTGGCGCCGCCATCCATCATCTTGTCGTCGTTGTCGTTGCTCCAAAATGATGGTTGGCGCGGCTAGCAGCGCCACCGCCTCCGCAGAAAGATACGTGGTTTGTAATTTCTAATAAGGTCCTTCATTAAGTTAAAATATCTTCTTTTCACAGGAGAACGTATTCCCCTAATGTTTGTTTTCGATCTTCTTCTCACTAAGATATAAGACCCCACTTGCAAATAAGTATACTTGGTGCCATCATCTGGCTTATGTTCTTCATGTAGCATTTGGACCGAATGGCTCTATGAAATTACGTCAATACTTTCACATATTATGGGTAACGTATCGATACATCCCTATTTTCCTAGGTGTCTTAAAAACCATTGCTTCCAAATCTAGAGATTAATTGTACTCTCACAACTTTACGTAAGGTGGAGTTGGGTCTTTGGGGGTTGATAGTGGAAAAAACACATTTTCCAACTAACTCAGTTTTTAAGTGTAGTTCTGTTCCCTTCGTTTCAGGCCGGCCTTACCGGAATTTTAACTTTGAAGTAGTATTAATCCGCTTTATTTTAAGAAACAAGGAGCAACAAGCCGTTAAAGGAGCTCTGCGGACTCTAAATTTTTGTTTGAATACCGAGTTACATTTCCGAATGATTCGTGCTAATATAGGCATTCTCGGGTCCCTAGAATGAAAATAAAATTATTTAACCAAGACCGGGTCAACAGTAAAGTAAAAGTGGAAACGGCCGTGAAACAAGAACTCTTGATCATTTATTGAAGGACACAAGAAGCCCCTATCTAACAAGTGATGAGTCATCACGATACTAACACTAGTAGAAAACAGGGCATTTGTTCCGGTTGGTGAGGGTCTTTTGTTCCGGTTCTTGAACCGGGACTAAAGGGTCGTTACTAATGCCTCCCCCTTTAGTCTCGGTTCTAACACGAACCGGGACAGATGGACCTCCACGTGGCCGGTGCGCCGAGCCTAGGCAGGAGGGCCTTTGGTCCCGGTTGGTGGCACCAACCGGGACCAAAAGACATCCACGCG